TTATTTATACAATTAGCTGAATATATATAAGTAATAGCACTTAAGTAAATAATCAAAGTATTATATAAGCAGAAACTGACCTCTAGCTACCCCTTCATAGAACAAAATGTTTCAAAATTCGTATACCTAATAATCAATTTTCAATTCCAATAATCGCAAAACGATTGCAAGAAATCGATATAATAACTTTAACTTATAACATTAATCAATTTGATTGTAACCTTATACTGTTACACAAATTGCATTATTATTTACTAATAATAAGGCTATTATTACATGCGACTGAACCGCCAATTATTATTTTTTAATCCTATAATAGTGCGCATACAGTTTCGTGTATTTTTCGTAATACCTGTATTATTGTAATAATGATATCGATTTCGTTAATAAGACCTTGGATTTGTGTTTAATGATTTGGTAATTGGAATTATAGTGTGAAGAATGCTTTTAGAAAGTTAAAATATTTGTTCTCTTATTGGGAACTTCAAGCTCATTTACCTGCAATTGGGATGATGACAGGATATGAAAATTAAAAATATAATTAGTGCGTAAGTTAGGTAATGAAAAACTATTAGGCACGTATTTTTTTATTTTGGTCGTATAACAAAACAATACTTAGATAAAACGAATCAAACTTTAGGAGTGGGGCGGCTAAAACGTCATTTCTACGTATAAAATGTATGTACATAGAAGTGACGTCACGCGAAATTTCAAATAAATATACCGCCGAAAGTATTCGTTTCTGTAAGAAATTAAAAACTACGATCTACCCATAGGTAGAGCTAGCATAGGTCAGCAGTGGCTACTTATAGGCTGTTGATGATGTGAAATAGTAGGTATCCATTGTATCCAATTCAGAAACAATGCTGAAGACATTTAATGTTCTACAAATATATGTTGTGTTTGACTTTGACACCTTGAACGGCACTCGTACTTCTAGCACTCGGTCTACGAAACGACAATTTTAAATACCTACCTTAATATTTTTTTTACTCCATTTTTTTTCTTTCTTCCAGAGTGCCATAGTCGGTTCGCGAGTGACTCTGCCATGCCGTGTGGAGAACAAAGTGGGGCATCTACAATGGACCAAGGACGACTTCGGGCTGGGGACCAACCGCAACCTGAGCGGATACGAACGGTACTCCATGATTGGGAGCGACGAAGAAGGTAATATTTTTTGCTAAATATTTTAAGTATCAAAGATTGGAAAGGTACTTGTAACTCCTTTGGTGGTGCCAGTATCCAAAAACGAATTCCATCACTTATGATAAAGTGATCTGTCTGCTCTCTTGAATCAGCGAAAACAGATGTTATGAGTTCCATGTAATAGGACAAGCTTATTACCCTTCAACGGCCTAAACTTTAAGGTTTACACACGCTAATTTCAAGCACGAAAGCATGGTTTAATTGAGCATTCGTCACTTAGTAGCATGAGAGTCAGAATGTGGCCATTCGTCAACCTATCTCGTATAAAAAAAATGCTGCTCACAATTTAAGTGTGGGAGAGCCACGCTTCGGCACGAATGAGCCGACTCGACCGGAGTGATAACACGGATTCACATAAAACAGACGTGAAACAACGCTTGCGTTGTGTTTCGTCGTGTGAATGAGGTTACCGGAGGCCCAATTACCCCCTAGTCTCCCCAATTCCCGAATCCCCCACAATCCTCAAACTCCTAATTCCCAAAAGGCCGGTAACGCACTTGTAACGCCTCTGGTGTTTTAGGTGTTCATGGGCGACGCCGATTGCTTACCATCAGGTGATCCATCTGCCAGTATACCGGGGTATCTCATAAAAAAAGTTTGCATGTTCATTCCGGGCTTGCTTGCGAATCGACTGGCTGATCAATACAATGTTTTAAAGTATGCTATTTTAGAGGATGTGTTACATTACTTTTAGGGTTCGCCCATTTGAAATAGCTTCAATTCAATGACAGGTGGTTTCAAAATGAAAATTAATGTTTTTGATATCGACATCTATCCCGAGACTTGTTCGGTTTTCGCTTCTGGCTACGTAACCAACGAAACAATTCTCAGTCAACTTTTACGACCTCGAAACCCACAGAATCAATGGCAGAGGAAAAAGTATTATTTTCTTTTTCCAAACAAACTTTCAAAACAAAAACTATAACTTTACATTTTCAGTAAAAACTAAAAGTTTCTCGGAAAAACGTCGTTTATTAAGATTCATGCTGTTTCCGCCTTAAAATATATTAAAGTAAGAAAGATTTTAGCGTAAAACTTTTGTTTTTTATTGCATTAAAAAAAACATTTTTGTCGGTCATCGCTACGCATTTTTGTCATGACTCAGAATGTAAATAAAAACGCACTTTTCAAATAACGTGTTTTGAACTGTGTATTGAAGGAGATAGATTCTAAAATTGAATGTCAGGTTATTGTTGTGAGTGCACACGAATATTTTTCAATACCAAACTCTCCTATTGGATTATTTCGTTTCAGTTATAAGTTTTCGATATTACATAACATTGAGCAAATGTTTCCGCTGAGTATTTAAGTGTAACCACATCCTAGCTAAATAAATATAAGTCCATGTAATAGGTGGTGAGCTACTGGGCATAAATACAAACTTCGTGATATTATGCTAAATACAAAAATACTTTTTTAATTCAACAACATTGGTGATAACCTTTCGATTGGTGTCTTCTGTGCCTGCCAAGATATTATAGAGGGCTGATGCTTCCTATCAGAGGGTCGTCTGCAAATAAAAGCCTGTAGTCACCCCAAACGTCACTTGGTCTTCAACTAATTTGCTCATAGTCTTTTTTTTGAGGGGGGAAATCATCCAATGCCGTTTCCCACTTGGGTTGGCGAGAGGGAGTGTCAGACTCTTACTGACTAAAAATCACCCCGTTTCTACTCCTGCACTTCGAGCCGGAGCCTCGGCAACTATCGAGCATCAGCCTTAGTGGGCCACATCTATAGAGGCGCGCGTAGAACGCGACGCGCCGTACGCACGGGTCTGGTTCTGATCGGGCGGCGAGCTACCCTTGCTCACAGTCCGCAGACCCGCACCTACAGTGGCCGGAGATCGTCACGCGATCTCCGACGCCCGCGACGGCTGGGGCGTGAGGAGTTTTGTTCTCTCACGCGCTTCGCCTCCTCTTTGGCTAGCATGACTGCTTCGCAGAAGGAGGAGACGGCATCCCAGCCCCTGAACCAGAGCCGGACGTGAGAGGTCGCTGTCGCCGATCACATCTCTGAGGACACGGCGGTGCCCAGCCCAGGCAGGGCACACCGCCACTGTATGCTCCACCGTATCCTCTGGGTAGTCCCCGCAGTAATAATTTGCTCATAGTCTAGCTACTGATTGTAAACTATAAAAATTAAAAAAAAATATTCAACAACATTGATTTAATAAGTAAATAATTGTATAAAAAATCAACTTACAAAACTGTCTGTGCTACTAAAATACAAAATACAATATCTTACGAAATAATCTAGGTCATGGCATTTACACCCAATTGTATGTGAATCCATTTCATAGCATTTTTATGTGAGGAAATAAAAAGACATTTCTATCTATTTGTACCAACTTTCCGCTATTCTAGTACTACATGGTAGTATTTTAATATTACATAATTACTCACAAAATTCTAGATTTTTTGGCACGAAATCCTAGTGTAAAAACTAAAGCTAGCAAGATATTTTAGGCGAATTACTAGGCACGATTATATTTGGGCTATGATGATTATAAAAAGTTGGAAGATTTGAAATTATACTATCTGTTTTTGACGGTACAGGCGGAGATGTAGGTAGAATCATAAATTGTAATATTAATGAAAAATCATTAGTATAGCTAAAATGCAAAAGAAAATTGCATTAATCCGATCCTCGTCAACGATGATGATTGGCGGTATAACTTAGCTTCACTGACGAACTGACTGACAGACTATTATTTATTTTGTATTTGTTGACGTTTTAAAAGTACCAAATTATGGCTTCATTGAAATAAATGCTTCGACTTTAAAAAAATGCAATTACAAAATACAAATGACATTATTTATTTTGTCATTGTAGGTATTATTTTTTTTTAAGGGGGGAAAACTATCGAATGACTGCTCCCGCCTGGGTGAGGCGGGAGGGAGTGTCAGACTCTTACTGACTAAAAACCACCCCGTTCCTTCTCCTGCACGTCGAGCCGGAGCCCCGGTTACCCGTTAGGTTCTCCGCGACATTGTAGGTACTTATGAATGTTACAATGGTATCATTATGGTAGTTCGCCAAAATACAAAATTTTATACTAGCTACTTAATCTAGTGTGTTTATAAATACATAGTTCGCTTAAGGACCATAAATAGTAATGACTGCACCGTTGGTGCGGTTCGGTTTGGTAGTGATCGTCGTGGTATAATACCAAATTTGTCGAAGAAAACTAGTGGGAAACAACGCTGTTTCACCATGTCAGTTAGGCCCTCTATCGACAGGCAATGCATTTATAACTCTCCAATAGGGATGATGACAGGATATGAAAATTAAAAATCTAATTAGTCCGTCAGTTAGGTTATGAAAAAATACTAGCCACGTATTTTTTGTCATTTCAGAATAGATACTTAGATAAAACGAATCAAAGTATAGGAGTGGGAGGTAGCTACGTAATTTTAGAGTATAAATCGTACTATAAAGTGACGTCATGCGATATTTCAAATCAATATAACTTCGACACTATTCGTTTCCGTAAGAAAATAAAATATACGTGTCTAATATTTTTAAATAATCTACCAGACGGACATTAAAAGAAAAATTAGACATATATCCTATTGTGATGCGAGTAGCTATGATCCACTCGTTCACCCCTAACTGGTGAAGCCACGAATACCTAGTAAAAAGCATTTTCTTCATTGTTGAATATTGTAAAATCATAAACTTTAAGAAGGAAAGACTCAAATAAACCATACCTATTTAGGGAACAGTGAAAAGGGAACCGCAGTAAACCACCATACCATACAATGTGTAAAAGGTTATCAAAACCATCGTACCTACCTGTACAACGAGCTTCCCACACCTCGCGACCTTCCTAACGAACCAGGAAAGTATGAAATCAATACTCTTTGTTATCTTCACCTCTATATAAATAAATATCCGTATTCCGTTGATTCTTATTAAATGAGGACTCTGGGACTGGCTATTTGTTGCGATATCTATATATATAATACCTCTATAAAAGAAAGTCGTGTTAGTTACACTATTTATAACTAAAGAACGCCTCGATCGATTTATATGAAAATTGGTGATGAGGTAGGTTAGAACCAGGAGACGGACATAGGATTTTTTTTAAGGGGGGAAAATCATCGAATGACTGCTCCCGCCTGGGTGAGGCGGGAGTGAGTGTCAGACTCTTACTGACTAAAAACCACCCCGTTCCTTCTCCTGCACGTCGAGCCGGAGCCCCGGTTACCCGTTAGGTTCTCCGCGACTCCGAATCGGCATCGGCCCTCTTGGGCCCCATCTGTGGTGGTCTGATGGCTCTTTGAGGCGTGCGACGTGACGCGCCGTACGCTCGGGTAGACGGACATAGGATACTTTTTACCCAATACTTTTTTTACTTTTAACCGAAAATCAAGAACGGCTACGGGAAATATCGGGATTGTGCGTACGAAGTCGCGGGCGGAAGCAAGTTTTTTATATAGAAACATGTTTAGGACAAAATATAACATTATTCACCTTGCTTTGCTTTTTTTGTTTTTATAGGCAGACAGATCGATGCTCCTCATAGGCACTTGAAACACCAGATTTATTACAAGTGAGTAGGCCTTTTGGGGATTGAGGATTTTTGGGGATTTCGGGAATTGGGAAGATTGGAGAGGGCTTGAAACCTTGTGGTGATAGCAGAGTAGAATATTTATCTCCATGTCATAAGCACCGATCTAGAGTCGACATAAACAACAGAGATATCGCTCTTTGATAAACTAAACGTTGATGAACCTTTTCTGAATCAAAATCATTTATTTCAGTAAGACCAGGAAGGCATAAGGAAAAAATAAGTGTCAGCCTATCGGTTAGTCCTTTAGTGAAGCTATTTGCTCGTTCTAAGGTGTATTTTAAAGAAAAACCTACGGGCCTAGCTAAGAGAGTATTGTGAACCCTCTTAGGTATGTAATATGAGTACATAGTCACTGAATGCTGATGTTAATATTGTTGAATATTAA